AAAGTAAAGGGCAACTGGGGTGTGGGAAAAGAGAAGGGAAAGAAGAGGAAATTATGTAAGTATGTATATACAGGATAGCTAATATAGTTATACTACTGTCTTCTATTGCTCTACAGAAAGAAACAGTTAATGATTACTTGTTTATCAATATTGTATTTCTCTATTTTTTTTGAGAAACCACTTTGAAGATATCAATAAGTAATACAACAACCATTGTTAATTTCCTACAACTTTGTCTGTAACTCTGTTTTGTTTGTATTGTTCTTATGCTATTTTGTAAATGGATGTCTGTTTGTTAATATGTTTTCCTTCTTTTATTTCTTAAAATAAAAAAAAAGTTTCCCCTGCCTCCAGTGTAAATACGTTTGTGCCAGGGCTGGGTGGGGCATGGAGTAGGAAGGCTATCCTGTCTGTGCCCCTGCTCTCCCTCAAGGACAAGGAGCTCACATGATCACCCATGTGATGCTTGGCCCCTCCGGTTCGTCACTGTCTCTGATTTCTATACAACTCATGGTTTGTCAGCAGGACCTGCTGGTAAGGAAATCGCTCCCAGGCAGTAGCATCCCTACAGGTACTGGCGGCCTTTCACTCAGACTTAGCTTCATTTTTGAGCTGACCTTGCTAGCAGCTGCCTTAATAAACCAATGGCCTTGAATCTCATCTACCTTCCATAGCCTCAACTCAAGGGCCTATAGGCAGGACTAGGATCCACTTTCCTTGCCTCTGAAAAAGGAGAGGAACCTAGTGTAGGTCTGATGCTTCCCTTCTGCCTGGCCTTGCCATATCATCCTGCTGTCTCCCATGGCCTGTCCTTCACGCAGCAACCTGTAAGGGAGGGGAAGAGTATGGCTATAGCCACTTCAACCAAGCAAACAAACAGGGATAAGTAAATATAATACCATCGATGGGAGCCTGGATAAACTGTAGCACAGCCACAGAGTGGAAAACATGCAAGCAGTAACAAGACAGCATGAACAAGGTGCCTTCTCTCTGTACCAAAATGTGAGCACCATGCTTCAGTGCTGTGTGAAAAGTAAGTAGCATGCATGCAGTGGTCCCATCTGGGTCCAGAGACTAAGTGGTCCCATCTGAGTCCAGAGCACAAGTACAGAGGCCCACAGTCCCATAGCCACAATCTCTTCTATGTGTGTGGAGGTGGCACATTTTTAGAAGGCCTCCCAGGAAGCCGTTCACTTTGGTCACCTCCAGTGAATAGAAATGGAGGGTACAGAAGGCTAGAGAAAAGACCTTATACTTTTCATTTGCTTCCCCTTGGTTTTCTTTCTTATTTGTATTTTATTATTTGAGAAATCACCAAATTGCAGCACATCAGAAAATTGGGACCAGTTTTAACAATTTGAAAGCTTTAAATTCCAGATTTGTTTTGAAACTAACTTCCAAACAAAACAACAGGATAAAAACAACACCAACATATACTATACTGCTGAAGGTATTGTTGTATCATTTAGGTTTGTACCTGGAGTACATATTGCTTGTGTACGATTACTTGCCTCTTTAAAAAATAGTAACAAGGAAGATGTGGTTATGAGCACATGGCCCTCTCTAAACCATCCAATTAGGGCTTTTCACCTCCCTCATTCTCTCTTTTTTACAATATGCATCATTTTTCTGCCTCATTTCTTGGGTACCCAAGATACCTGTTTTTCCAGCACATCCCAAGTGTGGACAACAGCCCAGGCCTCTGAGGAGGCAGCACTTTCCACATCAAGTTCCAAAGAGAGATATCCCCAGTGCCGCAGGATGGCAGACTCTAACTCCCAGGCTCCTAACTCAAAACTCCCTGTCACAGGCAGTAACCTGTGGCTCTTGTTCTGTTTGGATTTCCTGTAGATCACGAAGGCATCACGGAAGAGGCTCACCATGAGCCTGGCATACTCAGAGAGCCATCAGCTCCGCGTGTCACAGCAAGACTTCCGGCTCTTCCGCACCCTCTTCTTGCTCATGATCTCCTTCTTCATCATGTGGAGCCCTATCATCATCACCATCCTCCTCATCTTGATCCAGAGCTTCAGGCAAGACCTGGTCATCTGGCCGTCCCTTTTTTTCTGGGTGATGGCCTTCACATTTGCCAACTCAGCCCTAAATCCCATCCTCTACAACATGTCGCTGTTTAGGAACGAATGGAGGAAAATTTTTTGCTGCTTCATGCTCCCAGAAAAGGGAGCCATTTTTACAGACACGTCTGTCAGAAGAAATGATCTATCTGTTATTTCCAGCTAGTTAAGATTTTCTCTAGGCAGATTCTCTCTGGTGAGTCACAGTGTGTATTTAAAAGGAATTAATTTCCACAACCATCTACCCTGCTTTAGGAAAATCTAACCTATGCAAATACACATCTATGGCATGGGAAAATTAAGGGATGATGATCCAGTACAAAAATATTTTTCTTTTATAAAAGGGTCTATTAGGGGTTCCTTTTAAATATGATTTTTTCAGTGTTTGTAATATGATTGAAGTTAATAAATTGTTACTTATAACTGTTCAGCAGTCACATCTCCTACATATAAAAGCCACACCTTATGGTTTTAAAATTGAGTCTTGAATCAGATTCAAGATTCAGATTTCTCCTTTATTTTTATTTTTTTAGAGACAAGGTCTCGCTGTGCAGTTCAGGTTGGGCTTGAACTAACAATGTAGCCCACACCAGCCTCAAACTCATAGCAGTCCTCCTTCCTCAGCCTCCTCAGGAAGCACCTGCTATGGCCAGTGTTGTTGGTGCTGGGACTGCAATGATGAAGCAGACAGCTATGGCCCTGCTCTTAGGGAGCTTATGTTCTTGTCTAGATGGGGGGCACATATTAAACAGAGTGAAAAAGCACCCCCAGTGTAAGATAGGATGCTGTGGGAGTGATGGCATTTTGATGGGGTAGGGAGGGTGTAGGGAGACCTTTCTGATGAGTGACACAAGAACCCTGCTAGAACCCATCAATGCATGCCACAGAAGTTCCAGGTCTAGGAGGCCACCATAAGGAGGTTATTCAGTACTGAATGGAAGTTTGCAGCTGCAGACTGACCAAGATCTGATGAATGAGTTTAAATATTACTCTGACTACTAAGCAAGAAATATACTGTAAGGAGCAAGTATAAAAATAGAGACCAGTTAGGTAGCTGCTGACACAGAAAAAGTTGGTGAGGTTCTTGGAATTGGGTGACATTAATGAAGGATTGTGAGAAGTGGTCTTGGGATATACTTTTGGAAGGTGGAGCAAAATAGTTTATTGATGGACAGATGTAGAATTGAGGGAGAGAATTCCAGGTGGCGCCTAGATTTTTAGCGTGACAATGGCTGGATGGAGAAGACCGGGATAAAAGTAGGGGTGAGAAGGCCAAGAATTTCATTTGGAGAAAGTAAGTTTAAATCCCAGTGAGATATCCAAATGAAAAAGGTACTTGAATGCAGAGATGCAGAGGATAGGTATGCAAACACAGCTTTGTTGAGAGACACAGGTAGTATTTAGAGACCTGTTGTTTTATGAAATACCCTAGGAGAGAATGGAAAGTAGGAAGAGAGTCAAAGACTGAGCAAAGAGACAATGTCAACCCTTGGATATTTGGCCAATGACTAAAACACGTAAGTCCTATCACATAGTAGCTACTCAACAAATCATCCAGTCCCAGTAGCTACCATTCATGAACTTTCTGGAGCAGCTTGCTTCTAAAATAAGATTTATGATGATCATGAGCTTAGGGGAAAAAGGACAAGGAGGCTTTCTTCACCCTTAGCTAATTGATATGGTAAATTAAAGCTCTTTATTGAAGGAATGCATGGATATTTTATGTGTCTTTGGGACTGTCAGATTGAAGCCATGAAGAGCCAGGTTCTGAGCCTGCTGTTCCATGAGAGTGAAAGGCACAATTTTCCCACTTGCCTCCTCTACCTTTGGTGGAGAACAAGGCACACGGTATGGGAGACACACACACACACACACACACACACACACACACACACTCACTTCACAGACATCAGGCTAGCAGTGTTAGACAGCTCCTACACATGTTAAGAGGTTGTCTGACTGAGCCTCCTCAGGCAGGTGGAAAAGGTAGGAAACCATTCCTATTTTTCAAGAGAGAAGTGTGGGGCTCAGAGAAGTCACATATCCGGTACCTACCACACAGCTAATATGTGAGCTGGATTTAGACTTAAAACCAAGGTTTTCTGGGGCTGGGGATTTAGCTCAGTGGCACAGCACCTGCCTGGCAAGCACAAGGTCTTGAGTTCGATTCCTGGTTCCAGAAAAAAAAAAAAAAAAAGATTTTCTGGTACCATTTGCTGCTGTTTTGAAAATGAGAAAGACAGGCTCCTGGGAAACCCATGAAACTGAAGCTTTACACAGTTATATGCTAGAATTCACAAGTGCTGCTAATGGTGGCGGACACTGGTTATCTGTCCCAGTCCTTCCCTTCAGTCCCGCCTAGCTCCTCCTTGCACTCCCCAAGTAGGGGCACTGTGTTCTTTCCTATAGACCCGGCTTCTAGGGCCACATCTCCCAACTTCCCCAGAGAAACCTGAAGCTGCCTTCTCCACATACTAGAGATGGTGAAGGATGGGACTGTTTCCTAGGGCTCATCCTGACCCATGTATCTCAGCCTGTCACACCCAGCCAGGGCTGAGCCCACTGCACTGCCTACCTCAAGACCCAGGGCTGACAGCCGTGGGCTTGCTGGTGTGGCCTAGCCACACTCTCTTGGCCAGGCTAGTAGTTGAGGCCTTCTGAGTTAGTGAGGAAACCCCTTTTTTGTGAAGTTGGGAGAAACCACAGTTTTTAATAATGGAGATGAGACATTAGAACTGGCCAAAAGTCACACAGAACAGGACTAAAGAATTCCCTCCTGACACATAAAAGGACACTCCCATCTGTAGCCCATGAATATAAATAAAATTCAAGTCATAGAAAGCTGGTGACTATATTTTAATAAATTGAAGTTTGGAATCCCAGTGCTCAAATGGTCCCTCAGAAAACTTATAAGACATACATTTGATATGAAGAGATCCTCTCCTTCCCACATACATTTGTGTATGTACTGAAGGTTTTCTGTTCACCCAGGGAAGATGGGGGGAAGTAAACTCTTAATTAAGATAAATAGCAATGAAGACTGAGAGTTAGGTAGAAGTTTTCAAATGGAATTTTACATGTTTGATGTTGCTACAAAAAGTTTCTTCCTGATTTGCTTTGACAGTAACCTGAAATACAGAAAGCAAAGCCATTAATGACAAGAACATGAACCCAGGGATTATATAGATAACAAATACCATGGTGGTCTTAGGGTTTGGCTTCATGGATATGTTTCTTTGTTCAAATTCATAGCAAACTCAAACCCCCAAAGTAAGATGTGGTTGTAATTCACAAAACACTCACAAGGCTGGTTCTGAAACCCTTCCTATTCCCTGGGGGCAGCGGGCTGACAGCAGAGGACCTGCTGCATGAACACTGCTCCTTTCATTTTTGCCAAATGTGCACCACTGCACTTCACAGTGTGGGGGTTCATCCTCCTACTTCAGGACACGAGGGCTGAGTCAGCCTAACCTCAACCCTATGACTGGCGGTCTTAGAGTGTTCACTACGTTCTACATCACCACATGGTATGAGAAGGGACTTCAGAGTCACAGAAATCTGGGTTTGAATTCAACACAGCTGCCTATCAGAGACCTTCGGCAACATTTTAAATCTTTAGCCTCCATGTTCTCATCTGTGGGACAGTGATAGTAACTGTACCTACAAGGTGTTTCTAAGAATTGACTGAGTTCATGCAGGTGAAGGGCTTAGTGGGATGCCTGGTGGTAACAAAATCCTTTACCAGCATGCAGCCTGCCCAGCAGGGTGAGGTCCACAGCTGTTTGTAGTCTGACTTTGTATCTGTTTGGTGTAGAGGGTCAGTCAGGTGCACAACAAAAATGTTCAGTTTTGTTCCCTTGTGCACTATAACAAGACCCATTTTGTTTTGAACCCCAGTTTCCCATAGGAATGAGTGTGAATTCAAAATAGCACACTTTTCTCTACCATGTTCCTAGTTCTTAAATCAAGATAAGACAAAGACAGTATCATAAAAAAATCCTATGTTTGTCCCAAGAGATCTCCCCAAAATTGTTAATTTAACCATTATTTGGTTTCATAGAGAATACAAAATGTTTGTTACTTCCATTCTCTATTGAACTCACTATGTTGCTGTGTATTTTTTACATCAGTGACCATGCATGCTACCTTATCCTTCATGGATGACACTTAACTCCCCTAAATATTAATTTGGTCAAGATGGTTGTGGGGGGCAGTGGAACCAAGAGTAAACTGGCCTGAGTAGCAAAATAAAAGGATAAGAGTACCCTTGGTGCTTTACTTAATTGTCAGGGTTTTGGAAAACGGTCTGTGGTCACTCCTACAGTGGCCCAGGATAAGTCCAGGAAAAGACCTAGCCACAAGGACCAAGACTTAGGCCCAGAAGGGCAGCTCCTCAGACTCCCTGTAATGGTTGATACATTGTGTCAACTTGAGAAGTCTAGAAGCTTAACTAAGTAGCTCAGCAGTTCTATATCCTAGGGTATAGAGGACATGCCCTTATGCTTAAGGATGTTGTTAATTGTGTCAATTTGGGAAGCTTAGAAATTTAACTAAGTGACTCAGCAGGGAGTCAGAAGCCTCACTTTGTAAACATCCTGAGCCTGTGCAAGAGGACAGGGAGATGGTGTGAGTGCTACAACCCCTCCCCGAGGCAGTTTGCCTGCACATAATATAAGGGAGGAAAAAAGGCTTGTTATCCCCCTTTTTTTTTGTTTTTGTTGCTTTTCCTGCCTGATGCTGCCTTCAACTGTTGCCCCTTACCATGCCACCCTGCCTTGGAGCTAGATGATTATGGACTAAAATCTCCACAAACTGTGACCTAACTAAACCTTTCTTTCCTTAATTTTGGATGTGGGTATTTTGTCTCAGCAATGAGAGAAAAATAAGATACTCCCTGATTTCTCTTGAGTGCAGCTGTATGCATTCCCAGGTGGCTGGCCCAGGCTCCAGAGCCCTTGGAGCCCTCCAGAGTACCACTCACCATTGTGTTCGATCCTCCGGTACTGCCTATCGAGGCACAGCTCCTCCTGCCGCTGGCGCACCAGCTTCCGTGCCTCCGGGGTCAGGCCATTAGGGTCACGGGAAAACACAAAGGAGTAGCTATCAGCACAGGTGCCATCAAGATTGAGCAGGCGGCAGGAGTACTGCAGCGCGAAGGTGTCATAATCCGTGTCAATGATCCAGTGGTCATCATCTGTGAGGCACAAAGGCATAGTGTCGACCAACAGCTTACCCTCAGTGGGCCCAGAGATTTGGGCAACTTACTATCTGTGGATTCTTGGAATTGGTTGCCTTTCTTTAGGAAGCGGGTGCCTACAAAGACTTCTGACAGCTTTTACAAAACTGGGCAAATAAGAAAAGATCTCATTCTTTATAGAAATCAGTCCTGGCTTGGAGGACATCTCATTCACTTCAATGATTCCCTCTCTCCCTAACAATAAATGACAAAGCATCTTTCCAAAGGACCACTGAAGATATGATCCCATGAAAATCCCAGAACAAGTATTTCCATTCTTATCATGACCATTCACTCTCCAGTACCTCATCTCACATCTGATTGTCAAAAGCCTCTGCTATCCCCAACACCAGGAGATGTCTTTTTTGAGGATATGTAGCAGCCAGTTCCCACCTGTCTCATTAACTCCATTGGTTTCCTGCCACTATCTGCTGGAGGAAGCCACTGACAACATGGCTTCTCTGGTTGCATCCTAATCCTGCTTAGGAACACTTGCCAAGTGGGCAAGGAAGGTTTTGCTTTGGGGGCACAAGAAACCACTATCAGGCATCAGACACTCACTTTTACCGCTTGTCCTCTTCACAACTCTCAGCAGAGGCAGAACCCAAGTCTTAAAAAAGGCAAATCATATTTATTCCTCAAGGCTGAGATGTAAGCAACGGCGAGTAAGTAAAAGTGAAGGTGGTAAAAGTAATTAACTAACGCAGTATGGAAAATAATGTTACTAGGGATGTATGTGAGTGATGTGCCACACAGAAAAAGCAGAGTTCAAATTTATCCATATATCTTATATTCAAATCAAAGTGCCACATTTCTACTTAATTTAACCTTCTTATTAACACATAACTGTGGCTGGGACCTCCTGAGCACTAAATTATGTGCTGGCCACTGTACAGAATTATATGTTTTCTCAGTTATTTCTTGCATTGACCCTAAGTGCACACTATTACTCTCTATTTTATAGATGAGAAAACTGAGGCACACAGAAACTAAATAATTCACTCAGGTACATACACAGCAGGGCAGAAGTGTGACTTGGGCAGGGAAGTGTGACTCCAGAGTCTGCATGGTTAACCTCTCCACCACGGTGGCTCAAGACACTAGGTAAAAGGGGGAGAAAAGCAACAAAAAGGTTCTGTGTCTCTGTCTCACACCCTGGTCCTGAAGCAAGGGATACTCCGCAGCTGTAGTGCTCAGTTGAAGTTGGAGGGAGGCAGGGGCCTGGATGTCACAGCATCCACACCTGTGAGGCCATCTCTACCACTCCCCCCAAGCAGCCTCTAGGTGAGACTGAGAACCCCTAGAATACCTACTGAGGATGGGGTTGAGCCCAAACCTAGGCCCCGCAGGAGGGTTGTCGTAGATGAGGGTGTGGATCTCCCTTCTGCAATTCACCCTAGACATGCCAGGAAGAAGAATGAGCCAGCTCTGCACCTCCTAGGCTTTCCCAGGCTTGCGGATGTCTCAGACCAACGACTGCTCAGCAGTGACCACAAAGTAACTCAGCAGATGAGGAAGGAGTGAAAGCTACAGGGCTATTGCTGGCCTTGCCCTAAGCATGGGCTCCTGAATATCTGGGCAGTCTTCTCATCCCTGGATGAAGTCATCTCTGCTTTGGTTATGGGGCCACTGTATTACATGAGCATCCCAGAACCCTGCCTTGGACATCAGGGTCCCTACCTGTGATAACTCCATTCATGGTCCAAGCAGCTAGCTAGTAGCTTTTAAAAAAAATCTGCAGCTTTAAAGTTTTTCTCCAAAACTGTTGCCAGAATGTGAATTTCAGTGTGAAAACTTTCAATGCATGACTTTAGTAAAACTGAAGACTGTTCTAGACTGTAAAAGAAAGCCTACATTGGTCTGTTATGTTTTCGGGCTCCTGTTGGTACAATACTTCAAAGACAAAGCATTTATATCATAACAACCTGGACCAGATTCTCCCTGCTAAAAGTATTTGCAAAAGAGGATTTGCTTGAGCACTGCTATAAAGAATGAGCCCAGTGTTTCAGCCTCCTCACTCCCAGCAGCTGGGCCAGGCCCCTCTGGAGAACCAGACACCTCCAAATGCTTCCAGACAGCAGCAGCTAACAGCATCCAGTAGACAAGGCAGGAGAGGACTGAAGGCAATGGCTATATGGTCAGGAACCCCTGACTCCCCTCCCCCACTCCAGGAAGTCTACACTGTACCTTCACAGGTTGGTTTAGAGGTTTGGACTGTCAGTCCTCAAACCAAAAAGAAAAAAAAAACATATACCTGGTAAGGGGAACTGTCTCAGTGAGCTGGTTCCACTGAAAATCTATTGCTCTCCACTGTGGACCTAGACCATGTCCTCTCCTCTTCTTAGACCTGTGCCCTCCAATTGTCCAAAATGACAAGGACAATTGAGAAGTTCCCTGTGTCCTCGGGAGTGACAGTCCAGCTGAGCCAACCAGGTGATACATTTGTGCTACTCCTAACTACTTATCAAAAGAACCCAACGGCCCTGATAAGGCGAGTGGAGTCAGAGGCCTCAAGACCTGAGTAAGCATTATGTAGACAAGGGCCTCCCAAAGTTTCCTGTGTCAAAGACAGCTAAGAGGTAGTAATATGAAACACTGATGGAGAATTTATGTCACAGGTATTCTGAGTGCTTTCTGTGTGTCAGCTCACTGGATCCTCATAAAACAACTGTGCATGGTAGGTACTATGATTATTTTCACTTTGCAGAGGAGAAAACTGAACCAAAGAAAGGCTAAGGAAAAATCCAAGGTCCCACAGGTAATGGCTGACTTGAAATATGGACTCAAGCCATTTAATTTAACAGGGCATGCTTACTCACTACATGCACAGCTTCTTTCCTGAAAAGCAGCCTTAGAAGGAATTTATCCCTAAGCCTTCTGCACTACAGTTACCTCACTTAACATCTACACTTGTCACTTCCAAGGTTCCAATTATCCCCCAACCCACCACCACCACCAGAAATCCTAGAGAGAATCCCAGTGTACAAGAGATAAAAGTAGAGCTAATCTGGTTTGGAAGAAATAGGAGAAGACAAGAGACAAAACCCTACCTTTTCATTGCGCTCGCCCCATCACATCTCCGAAAGCATTGTCAATAGAATTCTATTCCTTTAAAGAAATTCTATTCCTTTCTATTCTTTTCAAAAGCTCATCTCAAAATGGAGAAGAATATAATGTGTTTTCTAAAAGTTACTAACCCTGTGTCCCCTGGTATTAATTTTGTAATCCATTATCAGAAAAGTACATCTTTTACTCTAAATGAATCACTTTGGGAAATTTTGCCACTGTTTGAAATAATTTTTATTACTCTTATCTGATTAAAAACTTCCCCCCCTTTGTAGTATAGCAATTCCTCTGTACAGTGTAAATCAGTACGAAAACATAATTATTTAAAAAAATGAAGTTTCATCTAACGTATGACTTTAGAGTAAGTCAAACAGTGTGTGTCTCATGTACAGCAGTAAGTTACATAAATATTTCTGTCCTGGATCACAACTGAAGAGAGTTCCCCTGAACAGCCCCCGCGTCCAACCTCACAGGACAGCAATACTTTGTTAAAGGTGGTCCATCTTTGGAGACTGCAGCTCCGGGTCTACCATGGAGGCTTCTACCATACGCTCTCATGGTGTATGATTGTGGACAAAGCACTGCCTTCTCTAGGCTTCCACTTGTTCAGCCGTACACTCACTGCCCCTCTCCGCCTCGCACAGATCCCATGATAAGTCTTCCAGGACCTGCAGTATTCTCTAGCTACCTAGAGTAGACTCCAGATTTGAAACTTAAGAGAAATGGAGGTGGTGGCTAGAAAGAACGTGCAGACAGCAAGTTCTCATGATTAGGCCAAGTTTCAAAATGCTTTACTGAGTTCTCAAACCCCACCCTAATTTGAGTTTCAGGGCTCAGGGAAGAGGCCACTGCCATGCAGAACATGGTCCCCAGCTCATAATCTTAGTACTGGTAAGTAGAGCATTTGGTAGCAAGCCACTGTGCACATTGCTCCCTCCATCTCTGGATGGGGGTGTGGAGATGGCAGTCTCTGCTGCAGCCCCATGCAGTCAAGCTATCTCAGGGATTAAGCCTAAAAAGATACAGATTCAAGAAATGCAGATTCAGCCAGAGTGGTGATGTGGGGAGACAAGAAGGACAAGTAGGGAGCAGGTCACACACCTGACACAGTGGCTGCATGGGACAGTGGCACCTGGCAAACCCAAGGGTCCTCTTGAGCCTTGGCCGAGTTCCTTGTTGGGGCAGGGGGCGCTTGCTGCTCCCACCCTCAACAGCCTAACTTCGCTTGGGGCCAAAGGCCTCTGCCACTTACAGACGTTTCCACAGCTATTCTTCCCAAGGTTGCCACTGGAGAAGAAACCCAGTGATGTGGCCAGGAACGCCTCCCATCCCCAAAAAGGTCCCACTGGCTGACTACTCACTTCCTTTCTGGAGGAAGGAGGCTACTCCCCAGTACTTCATCTTGAATTTGGCAGGGTCTTCGGTGTCTGTGAAGGTGCCCACCATGTCTGCGCACACTTCCCAGTTACTGCAAAAGGCGAGAGATTCTGAGCCCAAGCAGGAAAAGTGCTTCCCAGCTCCGTTTCGCCCTGGGTACTCCCCTCCCTCCCCAGACAATGTTTCGGCAGTCAGCCGGACAGGGACCTGGGACCGGAACACAGGGCACGGCTTCCCACTGCCCACGGACCTTAACAAACGCACTCGGCCCTTGGCCGTGGCGCTCATGTGGCCTTTCTCGTCCACGGAGAACTCGGCGATGATGTTGTCTTGCAGAAAGAGACCCTCGGGGTCCTTCTTGGCTACTGCGTACCAGGTCCCAGAGAACTGCGCAAAGGATAAGAGCGGGGGTTTGGGGGCCGGGGTGCAGGGCCGGCCCGGGAAACAAGGGGCGGCGGGAACCCGGGCCGCCCGGGCGGGTACCTACGCGAGCCTTGTCGAAGTTCTCCTTGACTCGGAAGCCGCTCACCCTGCAGTCCCGCTCAGCGAGCCCGCCGCCCACAGCCGCCAGCAGCACGAGCGCCCACACCCACTGCATCTCGCCCACGAGTCCGCCCTGCGGGAAACGCGCCGCCGTGAGCGCCGGGCCGCGGGAGCCCCTGCCCGCCGAG